CATAGCTGACCACAGTTCAAGTCCTGGACCTGGTGGCTTGCTTTCTCACTTTCCGTCTCTCTCTCTCTTGCTGTCTCTCTCTGGTCAAATTAAAATAAATAAATAAATAAATAAATAAACAAACAAATAAATCTTAAAGAAAAAAAGAAATTGCATTAAAAACAAAAAGAAAAAAAGTTGTGAGGTACAATGATCCCCTTTCTGATAGAACCTGACATCTTCTGGGGAAGATGAGACATTGCCTCACATTCAAGGTAACTAGAAATTCAGGTCATGGAGGAGAGGGGCCAAAGAAGTGTACAGATGATCCTGTGGCTGTTTGTCTACACCCCATCTCTATTCCAGAGAGGACCGACAAGCTGTGCAGATTGGTGGCCTCTTAGGAACTTCACGACTGGAGCGGGCCTCCTGGCCTCTGGTTCCGAATATTCCCACCCAGCCTCCACCTCCACACTGCTGCCCAAATGCATGTGCTAACATGGAAAATCAAGTGTGTCACCCTCCTACTTGAAACCCTGTTAGGCTTCCTGTTGACTTCAGGATAAAGTTCAAACGACGTGTGTTGGCATTCAAGACCGCTTCAAGCCTGACTCTGCTTGTCTCTGCAGCCCGACGGTCCCCAGGATGCAGCCCATGATTTGGTTGTACCTGTGACCCGCAAGTGCCACCTGCTTTCTCCCACCTCTCTGCCTTTAGACATGTTGGTGTCCCTTCCTCACCTGGCCCTCAGTCATGCCTCCCCAGGAAGCACAGGCTGATGGCTTGCACCGTTTCCTACCCTTCTCCTCTGTTCCCGTAGCAGCCTCTCTGCCAGCACTGACCGAGCTCGAGCCCTGCCATCTCCGGCCCTGCAGCTCCAGCCAGCTCGTGAGCAACTGCAGCAGAGCCTCCATGTTTGACCCCACTGTGTCTTCAGAGTTTGTGGTAATGCCGGACACTGCAGAGGCACACAGTGGACAGTGCTAAGAAAGGGACAGAGAAATGCAGACTAGGGTGACCCAAGAAGACTTCAGGGCAAAGCAGGACTTGAAGAGATCCCTGAGAAGCGATTTCCAGCAACTCCAAACTTCACCGGAAGTCACTTCTGCTTTTATTACATTAACCTCTTCATCGCCTTTAGTGTCATTCCTCTTGTTTTTGAATCCGGTGTTCCTTAAATGGCAGTGTTATCCTGAAGGTTTTCACCTTCTTGCAGAAACAGGCATTCCTTTTAGTTAGAACTCCTAAGTCGTGCTCTGGTTTTGTGCTTTCTGTTTTGTTTTCTAGTTTGTTTACTTATTGA